ATAATGCAGTTCAGCCCTTTTTTGATAAATTACTAATAAATGACCCCTCTAGGTTTAGTGGAAACACACACACTCCCACCTGAAGTGTGTCACTTGCTCAGAACTCTCACACATGATGCACACCTTCACTCAAATGCTTGAGGGGACGTTATCTTTGTTTTTAACCACTTAATTATTGGTAGATGAGGAATGAACCACAAATGAATCATTCATCTAAACTAGCTTTGAATGCTCTGTTGAACTGATGTACCAGAAACATTATATAGAGGGAGATGAATCACTCTTGTAAAATGAATGGGAGAAACCATGGAAATATAGGAGGAATGACCCTAGCCAAAAATAAATATGTTAAATTTTTAATTTCATGTTAAGTATACTAAAAATAAATTTACATATTTATGTACTTAATAAAAATCCCCTGCAATTGTACTCTTAGTATACTAAACTGGTATACGTTTAGTCTTTAGGAAATTATGTTTAAACTTATTTGGCTTGCTGTCCACTGATGACGAGCTCGATGAAGAGGCTTCAACTCAAGCTCTGCTATACCCCCACAGAGACTTAATATAGGATGATTACAAAGGGCAAGGTACCTAAGATGAATGTGGAGATTGGGGAGGTGGAGGGATGCTGGAACAGCTGAGACTGGAGAGAGGTACTTATCCTCCTGAGACCCGGCAAAAATGTTTAGGAAAAAATTAGTATTTTTTCATGTCATTACATTGTTTAGAGCATAAAAAAATACAAATAAAAAAGTGATATTTAATTCATAAGCTATGCTACGTCCTTGGTAGTGGACATCGGGACTCAATTAACAAAATAAATAAATAAAAAGACATGAATGAACATGCATAGAAAAAAACAATTGATTTTTTTAAATGACCAATACATTTTTAGTTTTCAGGATTTTTTTTTTTTACCAAACTTTGTATAAAGATGATTCTCAACTATGTTATAACAGAATGATTTGATATATTTCATTTTTCTTTATGCAAAATGTGTGTAAAATGGCCATAAACAGGTTTTCTCATTATATACAATGTATCTATAAACTAAATCTAATTAGAATATGAATGTATTTTTGGTGCAACATGTAATGAAAAAAGAAGTGTAATAATGAGAGTAATAATTGACAAGATTTTCATAGTAATATATAATATTTCATAGGAATATTGAAATATAATTTCTTTCCCTGTTCATTTGTTGTGTCTCCCAAAATGCGTAATAAACATGCTTTTAGTCCCGGTGTCCTCATATGAGGACATGTATGAAATCAACGTCCTGTTGTGTCTCCCAAAATGCGTAATAAACATACTTTTAGTCCCGGTGTCCTCATATGAGGAAATCAACGTCCTGTTTCGAAACAGAAAGTCATATTTTGATTTGAAACCCCATAACATTTTCCTTAGGTGTTGATTTATGACACACAGTTTAAAGATAAGTCAGATTTAAATGATAATTACAAAATATTATCATATTTCCGTAAGAGTGTCACTAAATTAAAATCAGACATTTTTGAAGACCAAGTAGAGGGAGTGGTCATGGTGAAACATCCACACATTTAGTATCTCTGAAAAGCCCTGAATGTGCTCTGTACAGGACATCCAGACGTAAAACTGTGGCATGTATAGTCTCAGAGAATTTCACTAAAATATAATGTCCTCATATGAGGATGCAGGGTCTCAGATACACTCTGGCTGTTGACTGAAAGATAAAATGGGCTCGCTCCTCCCTAACTTACATTTAGGAACTTAATTTAAAGACTGATATTATTCAAAGATCATACTATTCTCATCAATAGTGACATTAAAACACATTTTAGGCTTAATATTAACACATGTGCATTGTGTAGCACAAGTAGTACTCCAAATGAAGTTTAATTATAATTTTTATATCAGTAAGTCTCGAGTTATATGCCAGTAAATATGTTCATAGATTTGAACTGTACTTAGTATGAAATAAATCTATTTTAAATATATATTCCTTTTTTACTAGGGGAATGTCCCACATTTCATTTAAAGTCACATTGAAATGGAAATGTAGTTTTCTAAATGCATGTTATTGGTCCTATTATAATGATTTATACATGGATTTCATTCATGCAATTCTATATAATAATTTCTTTTTAAATTCAACTCGATCTTCTGGTGAAATGCCAGACTTCTCTCTATGTACTGTATGCAAGATTTCTCCAATCATTTAGTCTGATTAAACTACAGCCCTCCATAACTGATCACAAGTTTGCATTCACATCTGCCTCTATCTAATCAACAACTGATAGACTGATCCGTTTCACTCAGAAGAAAAGATCTGTCACTTCCATTATATTGTGACGTTAAAAAAGCCAGTTGTCTTTCTGATAGTGTTTACACTTGTGAAATAAACTAGACCAGCCTGAATATTACAGTTTATTAAAAAAATAGTAAATATGATGCTAATGTTGTAAGATTTTATTCATTTGAAATGGTACTAAAACACAATATTGAAAAACATTTTCATCATCATCTTTTGCTGCAGGACAGCTATTGCGACATCTTTCCAGGAAGATTGAAGGTGAAGTTTGTACAAAGTATACAATGCTGGTACAACCATATATGTTGGTACAATATGCACGACTAAACATGCATCACCGTTTTTGAATGCTGTGTTTGCAGTAAATACTACAACGACTCCAGTTAGAGCATCTTCAGAAAGCTGGTGACCAAAATGCTGTCTCAGTGTGGACAAAAGACCAAAACATAGAGAAAAGATGTGTCTTCAAAATTTATCCAGATGTAACCTGAGATACAATTTGTGACCCTGGACCACAAAACCAGTCATAAGGGCCACTTTTTTTAAATTGATATTTATACATCATCTGAAAGCGAAATAAATAAGCTTTCTATTGATGTATGGTTTAGGATAGGACAATATTTGACCGAGATCCAACTATTTGAAAATCTGCAATCTGACGGTGCAAAAAAAAAAAAAGAAAAAATCAAAATACGGAGAAAATCGCCTTTAAAGTTGTCAAAATGAAGTTCTTAGCAATGCATATTACTGATAAAAAATTAAGTTTTGATATATTTACAGTCTTCACGGAACATGATCTTTACTTTGGCATAAAATAAAAATTGATAATTTTGACCCATACAATGTATTGTTGGCTATTGCTACAAATATACCCGTGCTACTTATGACTGGTTTTGTGGTCCAGGGTCACATTTGTGTCCTAGCACAGCTGAATTCTCAAATAACTGATTCCACTCCTCATTGAAATGCAAAGGTACAGTATGAGTAAAAGTGGGTGGCCAGTATCAAAAGGAATGACAGAAATGCATTTCCAGAGGAAGCCACGCAGAGGTCAGCGGGTCGAACAGAGTGCCACCCGCTTCCCCCTTCTTTGCATGCGAGGAGCCGCGTTGTCACTGTAGATCCAGGCTTGGCGGGGTTCCTGCAGTGGATCTGCTGATAAGACCTGCTCTGACAGAGACTAGATGAACAAACACACCTACTAACACCTGTGATGGCAGATGAGAGCGAGATAAGGGGAGAGATACACCACCACCTGATCATCAGAGAGGGCCGGCTTGCAGTGCTGGTGCTAGATCTGGCCTCCAGGCCTCTGCCTGCTGAGGAATCCGAACCTGCGCTGGATTAATTTACGACCTCCGCGACTTGGAAAGCAAAAGCTCCCACTGCTGTACCAACATGCATGCATGAGCTCAGTGTGTGGCATGTGATCGTGTGACACTAGAGAACACGTGTGACTCATGCTCGCAAAGCTTTGTTCCCATCTCCAGTAACTCAAAACCTATTGTTGTAAAAAGACAAATGATATCCTCCGGTAAACATATTGACTTCATAGAAAACGTCCACTCAGGGCTTCATAATAAGTCATGTGTGACAGATGGAATATGCATCAAAATGTGTGCACCATTATGCTTTTTGTTTAGTCCGAGTATGTTATTAATATTTTAGTTGTATGCTGTTTTTATATTGTTTTCTTTAATTATTATTCGTTCTTATTATATTTGAAGGTATATTTTAAGTCAAGTCTTTCTTTATGCATCAATAGATGTTTCCAATAATAAAACAATTATTTAATATGAATGCATGATAATTTATGAAGTTGTACATGTAATTTATTACTTAATATATAATATTTAATTTAAAAAATATTAGACAATTATTAAACATATAAATAAGAATACAATTTCTGAAAAATCAGAATAGTGCAAAAAACAGTTTACAAGTAAGGCAGTGCTTCCATCCAATGTTATTTTAGTATCATTGTTATTATAGTTTTTATTTATTATTTTATTTTATTTATTATTTTTTTATTTCAATCAATGTTTAAATAATGAAAATGTTTTTTATGGTTACGTTTCAGTTAACAATAACCCTGTTTCCCTCCCATGCGTTCAAGGAAATAAAATCTTTATATAAATCTTAAAATTAAAAGAAAAATTAATTATTACTAACTAAAAGAGAAATAAATGAAATGCACATTATGTAAATAATAAACAATGTACTCAAATAGTCTTGTAGAAGCTACAAAATCAAGGAGAAAAGGACTTTATTCATTGTACCAACAGACTTTGGCAAATTAGCAATCTTTGCATTTGGAAATGCTTTTTTTTTCTCGGCAATGTCAGGGCTGAAACAAATAAATAGCAAATTTTTTGCAGATGTACATTGCTGGAATAAAGATACATTGTTTTTCCTAATTAAAAGACACAAGCGTGGTGTGAAATTAATGCATCAGCTACTAAAACATGATTTTCTCCTTTTTAAATAAAGCTTTTCAGTTTCTTAAGTACCTTCAAAAGCATGTTTTAGTTAAATAAATAGAATGATCTCCATTTTTAACATGCACAACTGATTTGGGTGGGAAAAGTATATATACACATGGTTTGAGCTTTTAATGACAGTACCTTACCATCGCACAGACACACACACACACACACACACACACACACACACACACTCGTACTCGTAAACACACACAGGCTGAGGAGACTGGAACACACACATACACACACTCACACTCACACACACTAACATACTTACAAATGCAGATACACTATACATATCTCCCTCTCTAAGCTTTTCTACATCGTCTTTCAGAGGGCTAACCTATCAAAGTGATAAAAATGCAATGCTGGACATAATGAAAAAGAGGAAATTATGAGTCCGAACATCACATTTTTAGCATCTGAACAACACAAGATTTTTTTTTTCCATTTTAGTTTTTTTTTTTTTTTAATGTAACAATCACAAAGATATGGATTCATGCATTATGAGCTTTATGTCTTGATCTTCTGCCTCTCCCGGCAGGAAATCATAAGTCGAGGCTTGATGCTTCAGTGACGTCAAACTGTACATCAATGCTCTTTTTTTCCACAAGTCGATGAGGATAAGATGAAATGCTACTTCTGAGAAAGTCATGTACAAACAATCTACAAGTAACTAGAAAAAAATCTCAGCCTCAGGCGCCTGGGCATCCAGAGCTGGCACTTCACTGCAGAGAAATAAGGACGTAAGTCTTCAAGTTCACTTGTCTTTCCTGTTTGTCTATCTAAGATGTTTCGTCTTTGAGCTTTGTTGACGATTCTGCTGTATATCTGCTGTTTCCTTGATAGGCGGCGTCTGACAAGTGAGCTGCAGCGAAGTGACCCACTTTTGCCTTTCCTTGTCTGTTTAGGTTTTCATGAAGCAAAGTAGGAGCTCTGCATGGAATAGAGTCGGTCGATGGGGTTCCCGACTCTCGCTTGCATTGAGCCCGCCTCGGACGAGGCCATGAAGCAGTCACTAAGGCTGGTCAATGAAGTGTCGCTGTCAATGTCGTGGAATATCGAGTCATTTCCTGTGATCAGAGAAAAATGAAAAAAGGGGTCAATACGATGCTCTTTTTTGTCTGAATCTATTGATTTATTAAAAAATACATTAAAAGTAACACACATATATACAATGACCTAAATACACTTCTTTTGTGATGACCATGTTTTAAATTTCTGTATTAAAATTAATTTTGATATTTTTTGGGGCAAGTCAAAAGTGATACAACTGTCCTCATAATGAAGAAAAAAGCCTCATTGAAAAAACAAAAAGAAAAAAAGAAATTCTTGAAAAAACTTTGTTAGTTCAGCATAATCTTTTATTATTATTATTATTATTACAACCCCAATTCCAGAGAAGTTGGGACGTTTTGTAAAAATGCAATAAAATCAAGAATCTATGATTTGTTCATTCTCTTTACCTTTTTTTTTAAATTGACAAAAGTACAAAGAAAAGATTTCCAAAGTTTTCACTGACCAACGTAAATGTATTTTGTAAATATGAACAAATTTCGATTTTGATGGCTGCAACACATTCCAAAAAATTTGGGACAGAGGAAAAATAAAAGTGAAAAGGTTATAGAATATCCACTTTAAACTGTTTTGAAACAGTTCACAGTAAGCAGGTGCATTGGTAATTGGTCAAGGTATCATGTTTGGGTATAAAAGGAGCATCTCAGTCTTTGCAAGCAAAGCTGGATCATGGCTCATCACTTTGTGCCAAATTTCATGAGAGAAGTGTCGAACAAATCAAAAATCACATTTCGCAATGCAAAATTGCAAAGAATTTAGGTCTTTCACCAACTACCACACATAATCTTGTGAAAAGATTCAGGGAATCCAGGGAAATCACAGTACATGTAGGGCAAGGCAGGAAACCTCCGTTGAATGTGCTTGACCTTTGAGCCCTCAGATGGCATTGCATAAGAAGCCATCATGCTG